CCGAACTACACAGATAAAACTCAATGAGACACCATCGGAGACACACGTGAGAACACCGAGACACACGGAGAGACAACCACGAGTACCAGTCACGAGACACCAACGATCACCCCGTAACAACATCAGCGAGTCCACTCTCATCACCATCGAGAGTCCAGAACCAGTCACCACAAGACAGCGATTAAACTGAGCAAGACGAGCCGAGTCACGAAGCAGCCAATCCAACAACACCACGATAAACACACTACACATCATAGATGACAAACACACCAAAGAGCGAATAACAATCTCACCACCACAGACACATACCGAACCCACCATCACCACCGAGAAGAGCGCACCAGGGTCTCACACAGCGTCTCCACACGGCCGCACAACCACCGTCTCCCCCACCACACCCAGACACACAATGAGACAGCACCGACAACCGAGACACACAAACAATTGGAGACACACATGGAAGACAACCGAGACGACGACTCCGAGACAACCGCAGCGACGGCAGACGAGCTTGAACATTAGTGGCCACTATCACGCAGCATCGAGTACACCAACGCGACTGGAAGCACAAGCGCTAAACACATGCTCCTGTAGGAGAACTCGAAAACCAGCCTCAAGACACGAACAATCGCCAGACACATCAAAATAACGAGTCACGAGACACTCAACGAGAACACACACACAAGAACAGACACGAGACCACACAATGAGAGCACAAGAGACCACAATGAACAGACACAAATAGACACATAATTAGAGACACACAATGCGAACACACAACTGAGACACACAATGAAGACCCAATGAGACCCACGCAGTCGAGCAGCGCACGGCGCTACGCGAAACACACAATCATACAGGCAAAAACATGAACATACTCCCCAGCCGAGAGCAACACATGCCCCGTGTGTGAGATAGAACACGAGCAAGCGACACGCTACACGGAAGAATACACAACGGCAGACACATCTTGAGACACACGGAGACACCCACCGCGAGACACAGCGCCGCCGCCTGGCGCGAACACACCGGCATCGCATTGCACGTAGCACTTCACACTCGGCCGGCGCTCGATTCGGGCTTTACGTGCCTAGAGCCGGCCGACGCCCGCGAAATAGAAAACCCCATGCTTCAACATAAGCTGGTCGAGTAATAAACTGAAGCAGACAGCACAGAGGCACAGAACAGGCGCAATATCAGACACTCGAGTTAATCGAGGTCGGAAAGAAGGGCGCTATCCGAATCATGAAAGGGATGTTGATGCATATTGACGCCGGTTTCAACTCTGACGAAGGTTTAGAGGGACAGGTGCACACAACCAGAGGAGCCGAAGCCACTGGACACATCAACGGAGACACACACCTGGCACCGCGAACGAAACGCACAATACTAGCGACTACGAGACGCATCTCACGCGATAACACGCCGTACGACCCTAGACAGTAGGCACAGAGTGAGAGTAAGGCAACGACTCGAGAGACACGCAGATGATCAGACAGCATCACTGAGAACAGACCATACGGGGAAAGCTCGCCATGCGACCTCTGTAGCCAAGTCACTGAGGCATATTGGGACTAATGCCCTCTTCTGTGAGACAGTCACGAGGATACTGTGACCACTCAGAGGCCACTACTAACAAACACGGATACACCAGAATAGTGACACATCATATGAAACATCTACTAAATTACAACTACCAGACACACACGGCGAAGCACAATCACACAATTAGACACTTATACTACTTGGAGAATAGAAAATCAATAAATCTGAATCGATAAAATCCGATTTACGGAGGAAGGAAAAACACGAGAGAACAACACACTATCCAATTAACATGCACACTCTCGAGAGAATACATCTGCCTTAGTGGTCGCACAGAGTAATACAAGCAACTGGAGTAACACAATCAAGGACAAACGAGTCAAGATATGATCTATTTGTAAAGTAAATTTTAATCAATCCAAATACGTAAATAGTGAGGAAGTACAGTTAGCTGCCGACGGCGGTAAGTGGTCTGATGATCTAGGTGACAGAAACAATAGAGATATTGACGTCTAATCAGATCAATTAGAATCCAAATAACGTCCTTTGGTGTATAAATACAACTATTATTTTGTACACATTACGTTGTGCTTCAATATGAAGTTCGCAATATTCTGCACAACTCACCTGGATCGAGAGGATAGTGGTGGCGAGGGAAAATAGCAAACAGTTGAAAATGCATATGATACCTTACTGTAGGGAATAAAAGAGACGTATCGGAGAAATAAAAAAAGACAAAAAACAAAGTAAAAGAGAGCTCAAAACATGCATAACAGCACACACATAAGTGCTGAGCACAGTCACAAATGATAGCAAACTAAGCAGAAACATCAACAAATGAGTAACGACGATACACACAAATTACACGTAAAAAGAACTAAAACACACTGAGCACAGCAGTGGTACCATTCAGCGACTGAGAGGCACCATGGTTCTATGACCTGCTGAGCACGACACAACAACTTGGCCTCACGACAAGAAACAACGATCATCAGCGGCGCTATGACACTACATGCTCGGAGACGCTCAAATCAGACAACCACAGGAGTCCGACGATCGCACAGTAGAACAACACTTGAGTACAACATCACGTAGAACACACAATCACGAAGAACTATCCAATGAGACGACGAATCGACGGATAAGCATAGCAATATATTAAGTAGAATCTGCTCATATTTCTGGCGAGATAACGTTTTAATAACGCGGCATACAGGAGAGGAGAGGCTGCGAGCGATGTGAGCAGACGACGAAATATAGGAGATAACGAGGACTACTAGAAGACAAACGGCTACAGACCAAAACAGGATCAACTACAGCACGTGAGAGGAAACCAACACTAACGGAGCCAGACACAGCTATTGGAATACATCGTGCTAAACCACGATGCCCGCGAGAAACACACACCGCACTGAAAAGCAGCACACAACACACAATCATTCCCCATAATGACCCCAACAAGCAGAAAATGGCCCTTAAAGGAGCAATGCATGGATGAAGTGCAAGTTTGGAACGTTTGTGTGTAGTAATACGAAGGTTGCCTTTATGTTTCGGGATTTGGCAAACCCTGTTGTTAAATCTGGCACGTAGACACACGATTCTATCGAGAAAAGTATCGATCTTATTGGAACGAGTCATACCCCGCGGATCAACCTACAGAACGTTTTGAACATACGGACAGACGGCGAATATATGTGTTGCAGTACAATGTCGCACAGAGTGCACAAGATTACCACGTGAACCAACACTGGAACTGCACAAGTAGCTACCGCAAACTACATTCTATTACGCGACCTATCGACGTGGATTACACGACAGCACTACCAGCAGACAAGTCGGCGACTAGACGACGACATCTGACACGCAGACTCACGCACTATCAACACACATTCAGATAGTGCATAGAGCAGGAGGGATCCCAACGAAAGATGCTTATTGTTGGTAATTGTCGTATGGTATGGATGCAGATATGATGTGAATATTTTGAGAAGACATGCAGAGCAAGAGTACAAGCTGAAAGTTGAGGGTCGAGTCACACTCAGAGGACACGAATTCGCGCAGAGAAGGAGCGAATACAAACGTGATAGATCCTGCCGACAAACATATGAGATCGAGGTCGAGCACAGCGAGTCGAGAGCAGGAGATCGCATCGGCAGAAGCTACTCGTGAATTCCGCAGGACACCACCAGGGCAGACGTCAGCTACAATAGTGGGACTTAGAGACTACACACCGGGTCAATATGCTGACTTCGAGCTCGGAACCAGCCATATACGACAGAGCCGGCACGCGAGATAAATGACATTATTTTCAGAAACAATACGACCAACCTACTCGTTATCGCTTACCGCCATCGAATAAGCTGAATGCTTAAGCGTAACAGCATACTCAATTTACCATCACGAAACCGCACGTTTTCCAATCAGTTCCAAAATGTACAGAGGTAAACGTGTTTCTTCCGGTGATACGCATAATGTCTCGGACATAGAGTAAATAAATCTATTATAGTGTAATTATCAAATGCCATAGAGAGAAGAAGAGAAACACTAGTGTTCACGACTTGAATGTCGATAGTCGACGAACTATTTGCAGAGTATAACCTTACTACTCTATGGACACAAACAAGAAAGAACGGTACTGAAGATTATGACTACACATCAAAAATAGAGGAAGTGATAATCCTAACGTATTAGAAGTAAGCGCGGGTAATGAATACTATATTGCAACTCTGTGTATCAACTACATTATATATGGTATTATTAATCGCCTATCGTTAATACGATTCATTCAAAACGAAGATGCTATGTAGGAGTAGTTATTAGCAGTTAGACACATTGGCAAATATTACGAGTGTAGTCTAGGAGAACAATCTAATGTGAATTCATATACGTTGTAGGAAAGCCTGGAAATCTTACAATTTGTTAGCGGATACTGAAAAAAAGAGTATCAGAGAGTAGATAGACAGAAGCTCACGACCATATTTGATGGCACTCTGATAAAGATGACGTAATATCTCTTATATTTTTAGTTGAAGGCGCGAATATTAGCTCGCTCGGACCCATACAGACTTTGTCAAGGCATGAAGAATATCCGCTCCGAAATGAAAGATCTAACGTAGACTCGACTTCAAAAGAATTCATCGTTACTATTACATTGTTACCAATAAAAGTATAGAGACTCCACCGCGCAAGAGAATGACACTATCATAGAGCGCCACGGCAAAATGCATCCTATAATTATTTATGAGAAAAGAATATTACAAACAGGCCTTTGGCACGATGAGTTGAAAAGAGAACTTCAAAGTCGTATATAGCGTAAACACAACATATTTCGCGAATGAAAGTCGGATGTTACTAATGCATTTATATTATTGTAGAATATAACTATATATATATGTAATACGACTGATCGTCATCATGAAAAAAATGACAGGAAATACAGATGGGTATCAGTAAGAATGAGGGTGCGAGAGGCGGATGTAAGACGCAATAAAATAACGGCATGAAAGCAGCAAAATCGTATTTGCATAGTAAAAATAATAGGCGTTGTATTGTCGTGTTATTGACTGCATATAGCTTCTGTTCGCATGAGCGACCATCTTCCATTACCGTGCTATCAAAAAATTGACAAAATATCTAACATTACATTTAAATTTGTAAGAAAACGCTTCACGACAAAAAGCCTGCACATCTTATTACTATAAACTACTAAATACCGGAGAAGAAAGATGACACTAGAGCAGAGTTTTGCACCATAAGATACTGAGGATATTGATATCAAGGAACAACAGGAGACGAGAATATTTATAACATGCATGTAGCATCAAACGTGTGAGTAGAAGTCGGTCTTCTAGCGTACACTATCGGAAACATGGCTGGCAAAAAGTTTTTCACTGGTCAAAAATTCGTCCGAGCCCTTCGTTGACAATACTTTCCCACTACTACTTACATAATAAGAGCGAAATGCATTCACATTATGAATGTGAATGTGCAAATCAACAAGGCCATTAATTTAAATAAATATAAGTTCCTCTCTCCCATCTCTCTTCTCTTCATATAAAATATATATATAGATAATATTATATATATATATTAATTTTAAATTTTTTGTTTATTTTTATTATAGTCTCTTATAACATAAGTGATTTTCTGCTGTCAGAATACTCAAATAATGGAACTTCGCCATTGTGTTTGAGCTGAAACAAGATATTCGATCATTCGCTCATCCAACACACCGAAAATTTCATTCTTTATTCGACTACTTGCTCAAGTGAGTCGTTTTTAATGTGTTAAGTGTAGTGCTGATTGAATTAATGTAAAAAAGCAAAATTATACAATGAATTTTTTTCTGGGATCATGGTTTAACAGACATTATATTTCCGTTAAAAAACGTATCTAAACATCCTAAAAAGACCATTCTCACAACAATCAGGAAAATTAGACACGTGAAAGGATGCACACAAAACATTTATTAATCACTCAAAAAACAGTACACATCTAATTTAGTTTTGTGAAGTAATTATGTCTAATGAACTGAAAAGAGAACAGATGAAAATACATTAAGCTCGGCATTCTTCAATTATTGAGAAGAGAATACTTATATTTTAAAAGTTCTCAAAATCACCAAAATATGCAAATAAATTACATGATTAATGAAGGAGGATATTTTGATTTAAAAATATTTTTTTTAAATTTAAATGACTACACATCAAAACGCAGTTATACCTGCGTTGGAGTATCGTCGTTTTATCTGTTTCCTCTAATACGTTAAAAACTAAATAATAATTGAATAAATAATTTTATAACAATAAGTGAACGAGAAATAAAAGTATAATTCAATTACGAATAAAAACGTTTATTTCACACAACATCTTTTTATGGACCAAAAGAATCTTTGGAAATGTTGACGTTCAATTTCAGATAATGAGAGTAAAGAAAGGTTTCTGTAAGAAATAATGAACATTATGAGCTCAAAAGAAAGATTCTATATTCATATATCTCTGATCGAAAGAAGCTAATACATCATCAGTAATTAATTTAATGCAAAAAAATAATTTTCTAAAAACATTAATCAACACTGAGGAACGCGATGCTAGGGGTATTAAAAGTGAAGAAGAGTTTTCGATAAGTTACAATTAACATGCATTACGTCTAATCACCATCAGCACGAAACATACAACTGAAGATTGAGAGCATGGTGCAAGTTGGAGCACAAAATGCAGTTGTAACACTAGATAAAGATGAATACAATTTGTGTAAACTTGAATCAACACAATAAGCAACAACATCTTAAATTCAGTCGCAACATTGATTTTCGAAGACCTCTTATGATAGTGATTTCGATTCAAGTGCTTTCACATGATTTCTGGTATCAGTACATTTACGTATCAAATTCCAACTCTGGAGTAAGATCGACATCGATTTCATGTATAAACATCGACTTTGAAGAAACAATCGATGTTTTAAACAGTTAAAAATCGATAGTTATTTAAATGTTTTTTTTTAACGTTGAAATCGTTTGTGATTCGATGTTGTTGTTTTCTGATGAAAAATTACAGTGATGCATAATACTTGTAAAAGTTGAATGATAATCTGATAGCAATAGAGTGAGTTCGTGTGCTGGAACCAAAGAACCGTTGTTTGTACTAATCATCTTCGATCAAACTGTCTCTTGCCCCGAGATGGACAAGCATGCCCTTCGAAATTTCCTCTTCTTCTATTCAATGCTCTTTGAGCATATGGTCAACAAAATACACTGTAGGCGTAAGGTCTCGTATAATTCGATAACTCCAGTACAATGCTGCTGGCGAGTATTTTTAAGGCACAGAAAGTATTTGACCGCGTCTGGATTATAAATCACGACGATAATACCGTGAAAACACCCTCAACGAATTATCTTCGCTGTTTTACGATGTATACATAACGATACGGGCCAAATGAAACAAGTTGAACTTTTGAATTTCAAAATAAGATATATACTGCAAAATTTGCACCTGTGATTGCTACTGCGATACATACGTACTCACCCAAAATGCAAAAGAAAATGTGGGAGAACATTCTTGTGAAGATTCGAAAATGCTCAAGACAACGTGTACATACTTACTCCAAAAATAAAAAGATCCGTTCAATTCGAGTGTCCCATATATTCCAATCATCGCGAAACATCGATATTAGGTAACAATTTTTGTGTTCGTTATGTACTAGCACAGGACGGACAGGCTGTGTTTTGAAGAAAACACATTTTTCAGTATCAAGAGCCAACAAAAGTGATTATGAGTACTCTATTGTAGTAAAACTAATGTACATTGCATACGAGAAAATAAATTCACATTTTTCGAACTCACACTCAGAAACGTATTTTTCTGTTGCAAAATATATAACAAATATATTCTTATAACAATGCATATGACGTAATTTTTAGAGACTTCTCAACAGTTGCACAACAGCATGAATGAAGAAACGTTGTACGAGTAAATAAAATAATGCTGATTCTAATCGCAGGTATTCAACATTCAATATATAAGATGCCAAAAAGAGTTTACGAGTAAAAGCTCACTTTGCTTTCTCAACAAATTAAAGCAAAGCAAAAAATGAAGAAAATCTTTGGAGAATCTGAAGATTTTTTTTTCGTAGTTTTGTGAAAATGTTTCCAACTGATTGAAAATACGCCACAACACATATGCAAAATGTATATGATATTTTAACAGATCTATTGTGGAGTTTCATAATACATTTTGATCAATAATAATTTTATTAAACGCTTAGAAAATTACGATACAAAAATATAGAACGTTCTAAAGTCTTCGTTTGCCGAAAAACAATTCCACATATTTTACAATGTGCTCCGTATTAAAATACACCACAGAAGCCTCTCTTGGCTTAATATTTGCATTTGCTTTACGATGCTATCTCATTTCTTTCCCTATGAACATGCACACTATATTGACATCCATTTGAAGTGCTCCACATTGGAAGAAGCTTACCCCGCATTAACACATTTTAAAATTGAAATATCCCTGGTGGGATGAACCCACGACTTGGATTAGAAGTCCAACGCGTATCCTCTGCGGCCACAGGGAACCCGTGAACAACAGACAGTTTTCCTTCGTACTGCCGTTTTTAGTCGAGATTTAGTCCTTGGTTTAGTCTGCTCCTCGATTGTGCGATGTTCAGTGAAGGGACACTTTCTAGGGTAGAGAAGGAAAGATATACTTTTATCCTCAACCTGGAGTCTTTAAACGAGCGGCTGACGGACCTCGCCGATATGTTATCTTCTTCGAAAATAGATGTTATTTACGTATCCTCTTTCTAACGGAAGCTACGTATTAATAGAGAAAAATAATTACTACAAAAAATCCGCCTGGATAGGTCTGATTAAAAATCCATTTAGTCTTTGAGAATTAATTCAGGTGATTCCGTTTGGGAAAATTTATACAGTTTATCTTGATGCTTGAGTGTACGCAAATTTTGAAAGTTAATATTAGTTATTTATGTTTACATTAGATTTCAATATTAACAATGGGTTTATAAAAAGCGTGTTTTTAGTAAGCGTAATCACATATTACTTTGAATTTGTAAGGTATGGGAAATTAGAATGCGGATGAAATTCAATTGAACGAGTGGTGCTACCCGAATGGCACATACTTTCTCATATTCGTTTTTTTAAATTCTTTCGGTCTCTCTTCATGGCTGCTCACATACTCTGCCAGCTGCAATTACCGTCGCAAAGTAGTAATTTTTTACATTTTCGTAGTTATGCGTTTTCGTAATAGGTGAACGGACATATTATTTGTTAAAATATTAAGAACGTAAAAACTAGTCTAAGATGAATCAATTTTTCCTCTAAAAATTTTGTCAGCCGTTTCCTAAGAAAATGGTGTTTAGCTCTACTGTAAATTGGATTTCACATTGACAATTTTCACGAAAATTTTTTGAGTTTCGAAAAACTTCAATCAGAATCGTTGGTATATTAACTAACAAAAACAAAGTGTTTACAAATTATTGGAAGAGCACATTAATAATGGAGCAATCATCAAAAAATAATTTGTGTAATTTTTGGGAAAAAAAACAAAAAAAAAAAAAACCAACACAAAAATAACCGAGAATGACTTTAAGAGTGTAATTAGCAACATTTCCGTCCAAAAAGTGAAGAAAAAATTTGGTTCATTTATGAAAAATGGAGTTCAAGTTCTGAATGCAGAGTTTGAGCAGTTTTTACTAGAAAACTATGGGGAGTTTCGAGAAACTGTATAATATTAAAGACTTGTACCCAAATATAAACAGTGAACAAATGTCCGCATGCGTAAATATAAACTTGAGAGACAAGTAAAAAATACATTTGAAAAAAAAAGAATGAGAGAACGTGTCATTTATGTCATCTTACAGAGTACATTTAGCAATTCCTACCAAAAGTTTAAAGAAAACATTTGAGGCCAGTTTTTGAGAGAATCTTGTTTTATTCTTTTTAAAAAATGTCACATATTGCATGCAAATTTGCGCGGAAAAATAGCGAACATTTCAAAAATAAAATTGCGTGACTTCAATGAAGAACTGACTATGGAGAATGAATTTTATTTGAAGAAAAATTTATCTCAATTTTGTAGTTGTGTAGAAGACACCCAAAAATTTCGAAAAATTCAAAGTTAATTCAGAAATCTGACTTAATACAAACTTATTAGGTCTTTAATAATATTCTACAGAATTTTTTAAAAAATAGAGCGTTTTTGAGAAAAATTGTGAAAATTGGTCTGGGGGCTTCAATGTAAAGTATCCTCAAGATTTTAAAGATTTTTTTCAAAACCGCGTCGCCTCGAGTGGAGCCGAAAGATCAGGAATATCCTATTTTGGAAAAAATCATACGTAGGATTTTAGGCGTTAGTGGTGTTCACAAACGCGACGACGGACGGAAACAGACGCTCGGTCGTTTGACGTCAATTGTTTTTTTTTCGATATCAAGCCAAAAAACAGATATTCTGGCTGATAGACGATTCTTTTAATTGAGCATGGATTTAACATTTTTTTTTAGGGCCGGCAAATAGAATTTTTTCTGCCAAATATCCGCCATTTTTTGCGCATGTAATGTTTAGATATAGATTTATTTAGTCAAAAAATAACTGTGATGGACGTATGGGAAGAAGTATCATCTGCGTCCAGTTTCTTGATTCCAGAATCTTCTACATCATTTTAACTATAAAATTAGTAAAAATAATAAAAGTTAAAAAGAAATTTAAAATAAAATCATATAATACTCATAATAATAATAAAATAATAATATTATACTTTTTATAAAAGCGCGACAGTAGCGATATTTTGAAAAACTAGACATGTTCATACGTATTAAAGTATATTACGCATATTATTCCGTATTATACGTAGTATACGGGAAGAAAAGAATAGTAATTTATGAACCAGGGGGGTTACAAAGGTGTTTTAATGATCGATGCGTTAAGATTTATTGAACAGTTTAAATTTTCCCGAGTACATACAAGATTTATTATTCATTATTGTTTGTATTGTCTGAAAGGAAACACAACGGTGTACTTTGTGAGCTTCGATCTATCCGCGAGGTTTTGATACTCTTTGGCATGCTACAGTCACTGCCTCACACATACAAAACTCGTTTTATAAATACATTCATTACACTTTTTAAAAAAACAGAACAATACATGTAAATAAATGGCATTTGAAGTAAAGAAAATAATTCGACAAACATTATTTTATGAATTAAATATAAATTGCAATTTGCATGTTTCCGTGATTAAAAATAAATAAATTGTATTACAACAAACGCTTTCTCAAAAGCATTCATTGTAACAACCCGTAAGACACAATGCTGAAACGGAAACGCCATTCTATTTACTTCGCAAAATAATTTAATGCTTTTCCTGTCTCATAATTACAACATACTCGAATATTCTAAAATGTAGTACGTTCTTTGTACGATATGTCACTGACATCGCATGTTACATTCTCATAATGGAATAATTCTGTTTTAAATTCGCTTAAAATAGTCCTAAGAAAATTCTTGTTCGTCGTGAGCCGACGAGTTTCCCAAAAAGAACGCGATAGCTACGTAATGTTATAAAACAGTGTTTTCAAAAGAAAATATAGAAGTGTAAGTAAATATTTTTTACGTCGGTGTATTTAAACAGGACGGATAAAATCATGTGCGAAATAATTTACAGTGAGAACACTTCCTGCCTTATCAAAATATATCTTTTACTTAATTCGCGAATGTCCTACTCACCGGGCGTTACCTTCAGACAGGTCTTAAGGTGCTTACCATCTTAACCATCACGCGCGAAGTGTGGCACACAGCGAACAGCTGTATAATTCATCTGCCACTTACAGAAAAAATCGAAGAATAATCATAACATGTATTTTTTTAATAGTGACTCAACGTATTTTTATTCTGTGTATAAGACCACAAACGTAGTTAGCATTCCTCCTCGCCACAAAATGGAAGCTTCCTTCGTGAAGTTTCTAACCTCATTGTTTAATTTGTAACAAAGTACTAATGCAATTAAAGTCATTTAGATGTATCTAATAATAGAAAATGTTAAAAATTTTATGGAGTATATAAACACCATATCTACAAATTGTGATGCAAGTCAACCTTATGTCAATGATGACTAAAATGTACAGCTTGAGAATATAGTAATATTGCCTTAGTTATGTCCAAGGTTGAAATTAAAATGTCCATAAATGAGACTTGTTGTTGGTTGTGCTTATGTCTTTGATATATGTTGCCGTAAAGAGTAACCTTGAGAAAGCAGGTTGAGGTGAAACCATGGTGCTCGCGAACGTTGTGGAGAAAATTCCTGAATTGAGCAAGCTTATTGTGAGACGATGTGTAAAAAGTAAATTAAGTTTTATCGAGAAGCGATAATGATAAGTTGAAAGTCAAGAAGAATGCCGAGATAACAATGATAATGAACCTAAATCACGACGAGAGAAATGAGAAGTAGAGTAATATGTGTACTGAAGTAAAATAGTTGAATGTAAAATAAAAATTATCAATAATTAAATTGGAATGTTCATTCGATTTTTGTTCAGTAAATATGCAAAGCGGATAAGGATATTCTCTATAATAAAGATATTTTGTGTTTAAATACATATCCAGAATCTCGTTTTGAAATCTACTTTGAATATAAAGATTTCTTACATGAAGTCGCAAATCCATAGAATAAGCATTTTCAAAGATCGGCATACGTTCATGGTTTCAATGTACTGACTTCCGGAACTTTAGTTATGAATAGATGGCTTGAAAGTCTATCCATAGCTAAATTTAACTAGTACAACATGAGTGACATTGCTTTTACGAATCGGTGCATTCTGAACATAAGATCAGACTAATTAAACATTATGGTTGATCCTGTAAAGTAAGGTTTCAAACTAATTGTAAGTCAATGTGGGCGACATTCGATTAACAAAAGTCAACCATGCTGCTGACGAATGATTTCATCTTTTAAATATTTCCTTTGCGGAGGTTTGGTGGAATGTTAAAGTTGTGGTCGGACATCCTTTCGACATCAATAAAGTGAGAGTGCAGACTATGCCCAAACACGCCGCGAGGAGAAAGACCACTTTAACACCGGAACTGTGGAGTGCGCGAAGAAAGACACTTGCGGCTGACAGAATTCAGAGGACTATACAAAGGTATGGGGGCGCCGGTTGTGATAGTGGTAACGATATTTCAATAGATTTTTGCCTTGGGCATTGGGCCAAAAAACAAAATCCAAAACATCAGCATGCACATGTCAACCTCAAGTATACGGGACTGGCCTTGTCAGGACTCTTACATGACGTGGCAATGACTCCTGAGAGAGAATAAATGCCTTACTTCAGATTCAACGACTGGAGAAAGGACCTCCTAAATATAAGCGGCCCATGGATTTATTAATAAAAGCTGTACGAGAGGGCGTAATAGAAGGGTGTACAAAGAACAGGAGCGCCACGTGTTGCGAGATATTCATCGACAGAATGTACTTCATGACGTACGGTCCTAGAAAGGAAGTTCATCTCCAGAGCGACTCGCGGGGCCCGCAGCGCGTGCACACGATCTGGCCGGCGGCTGGCCGGCGTGGCGTATTGGAAGCCGTGGGGATCCCGCGACGCGTTTAAAGAGGGTGAGCCGCGCACGGGGATGTACTAAGGCTGAGGGACGCGTTGCCTGAATTGCTCAGACAGGATGGCGTCCAGTGGTTTGTACAAATGATAGTGCTGTTGCTGCGGGCGTTTCCGGCCAATGAGCGTGCTCCTGGGGTTTTGAATGCTTTATGAAGTTACTAATTTCATCGCTCCAATCGTGATACATCGAATGTCACTACATTGTTTATTTTATAAGCATCCTTTTTTATTTATACAAGGTAGTTTTAATAAGGATTTTAATAAAATCGTTAGTCAAAATCCTTATGTACAGCTTTATTGGCAGTTCTATTAAGCCATGCAGTTTCAGTCACTCATGTTCAGAAGGACTAAATTCAGGGAAAAATTCGGAGTTTTTTTCTCATCTTTCGTTTCTGTTCTGTAGTATTTTTAAGTTGCTGATTTCGAAGCCTGAATATTCGCACTTAGGACAAATATCAACTTTACGAATAAATTGAAAAAGACTAAAGATATCGGCTTTTATTTTCTCAGCCCTTATAAGAGGGAATGATTAGAACTCTATGAGTTTAATAATGGTGCGCCGAACATGATTTTTACAAGAAACATTCCAATGCTGGACCTGATATCGTAAAAGTGAAAAGTTTGTGCATAAATAAACTAGTCCCTAATCGGGGGCGATGAGTGGTCAAACCAATGTTGCGGAGCTTGATACAAACAATCGATTGAAGGCAATCTATCTGTCGTGTCGCGGTGCAGTTAACACACGGCAAAACATTCACCATTTGCTCCAAATTGATTTTCTTCGATCGATTTAAGGACTCTATTTGACGTTAATAGATACGGGGCGCCGATACTAGGTCTTTATTCCTAAGTGTAGTGTACGTGAAGTTTGTCGGTAGGGTGGCGGTGGTCTCCGCCCACTTGTACTGGCGAGATCCGGTGCCGACACCGGGTCCGCTAGTGGGATTATTGCTGATTCCAGACAGGCTCTCCACAACGGTGCTAACCGCCCATCGGATAAGTTTAAGCCGGGTCTCCCGACATGCTGTCAGTGTACTGCATGTTTGTGTAAGACGAGCATTGAGGACATAGGAGAGAGTTGAAAGATCGCGCTGCGTCCTTGCTCCGTTTTGTTGAGGTAATTGAGTCCGGCATTTCTAGCCTGGTGTTGTTCTGGAGTAAATCCACTGTAAAACTTCCGATTCAAAGCAACCAGTCCTGGAATTCTCTTCCAGAAAACAACTGAATTACTAGCGGAGAAGTAGTCGTAATCGAACTAGTGGTCAGTAGGAACTGCAGTGACATCAGTGATGGCTCACTCTTTCTTTTTAGTAAGGAACTCGAGGATCACACTGTAGTTGAAGGAATGTATTTTCGATGGGTGTGAGTCGTGTTACTCGATCCACATTACATCACGCGTAATAGAACCAATAGAGAAAAAGATCCTCGATTTTTTCCCCTGAAACGATACTAATTGATTCACCAAGTATTATAATATTTTTTCTTAAATATGAATAATATTGTTCATGTTGGACATTAATATCATCTATTCTTTTGGTTCTCTGTGACAATGTGGTATTATATTCGTAAACTAGGATCTTAAGAAGTGGACATTCTTCAAGCCAAAGTAAGGGTGAAAAATAAATGATAAAATAGAGGTTCGACGATAATTGCAGTCGTTTGTGTTTGTGGATTTTATCAAATTCATATATTATAAATTGTGTGAATTTAAAAATATTTTTTTTAATTTTGTTGATTTCAGGGAAAAAAATCGGAAGATTTTTTCTTATTGGTTCTATACGCTGAATGTAATTGTGTCGTGTAAAGTACTCCCCCAAATCAAAATATTCCTTTCAAACTCTGTGATCCTCGAGTTCCTTTAAACAGGGAAAGATGGCTCAGGGCATCAACTATGTCACTGCAGTTCCTCTGACCTAGGTTCGATTCCGACTACCTTCTCAGCTAGGTTGAATTCAGTTGTTTTCTGGAGGAGAATTCCAGTGACTGGTTGCTTTGATCGGAAGTTTACAGTGGTTTCTCCGATCAACACCAGGTGAATGCCGGTGTAGTACCCTCACAAACGGGCCAAGGACCGCGCGCGATCTTTCCCACCTCTTCCTTGTCCTATGCTCTCTCCTTACACCCACACACCCACACCCACACACAAACATGCACTACACTGACAGCCATGTCGGGAGACCGGCCGGGAGCTTAGAGCTTATCCCGGCTGGGGCGGTGCCCCGTTGGTGGGAGATGCCTGGTTAGATCCCAAGATAATTCCCACTAGCCGACGGTAGGTCGGCACCGGATCTCGCCATACAGTGGGGGGAGACCTCCGCCACCTACCGACAAACTCATACACTACACTTACGGGAATAAAGACCCTAGTAGTCGGCGCCCCCGGTATCATTAACGCTCAATAGAGTTCCTTAAATCGATCGAAGAAAATCAATTTGGGAGAAAATGGTGAATGGTTTTGCCGCTGGTGTTAACCGCACGCCGACACGGACAGATAGATTGCCTTCAATCGATTGTTTGGTATCAAGGCTCCTCAAAACATGGATTCTGACCACTCAACGGTTAGGGGACTTAGTTTATTATGTATAGCAACAAACTTTATCCACTTTTACGATATCAGAGTCCAGCAATTAGAATGTTTCTGTAAAAAATTCATCTTTTTCCGTCGCACAATTATTAACACTCAATAGAGTTCCTTAAATCATTCCCGCCTTACTAAGGGCGAGAAAATAAAAATCCGGATATCTTTAGGTCTTTTTTCTATTCTTTGTAAAGTCGATATTTCTCTAAGTGGGAAATATCAGGTTCGAATTCAGCATCTCAAAATACTGACAAAACAGAATGGCAAGAGAAAAAAAACTCCGGATTTTTTTGTCCTGAATTGGGTCCTTCTGAACATGAGTTGACTAAACTGATGGTACAGAACTGCAATAAAGCTGTACATAAGGATTTTGATAACGCATTTTATTAAAAGTCCTTATAAACTACCTTTATAAATAAAAAAGGATGCTATAAAATAAACAATGTAGTGACATTTCGAAGTATCACGGATCTGGAGCGATGAAATTCAGTAACTTCATAAAGCATTCAAAACCCAGGAAGCACGCTGCATTAGCCGGAAACGCGCGCAGCAACACAGCCAACGATCCTTTGTACAAACCACGGACGCCATCCTGTCTGAGCAATTCAGGCAACGCGTCCCTCACGCCCCTCTCGTACATCCCGATGCCGGCGGCCTGCACCCTGCTTTTAACGACGTCGGCGGGAATCCCCACGGTCCAATACGCCACGCCGGCCAGGCCGCCGGCCAGAATCGTGTGCCACGCGCTGGGGCCTCCGGAGTCGGGCTCTTGGGAGATGAACTTCCTTTTCAGGGACTCGTACGTCATGAGGTACATTCCTGTCGATGGAATATCTCGCAACAACGTGGCTCCTGTTCCTTTGTACACCCTTCTTATACCGCCCTCCTCGTACAGCTTTTTAATAACATCCACCGGGCCGCTGTATTTAGGAGGTCCTTTCTCCAGTCGTTGAATCTGAAGTAAGCATTTGATTCTCTCTCCAGGAGTCATTGCCACCGTCGTAAAGAGTCCTGACAAGGCCCCAGTCCCGTATAATTGAGGTAGCGACAGTGGTGCATTCTGATAGTTTTGGATTTTTTTGGCAATGCCAAAAGCAAAAAATCTTATTGAAAATATCGGTACCACTATCACGAACGGCGCCCCCATACCTTTGTATAGTCCTCGAATTCCTTCGGCCGCAAGTGTTTTCTTCGCGCAGTCCACAGTTCCGGTGTAAAGTGGTTTTTCTCCTGGGCGTGGTTTGGGCATAGTTTGCACTCTCACTTTAATTGTGTCGAAAGGATGTCCGACCACAACTGTACACATTCCACCAAAGCCTCCGCAAAGGAAATATTTAAGAAAGATGAACTCATGTCGATCAGCAGGCATGGTTGACTTTTGTTAACTGAATGTCGCCCACATTGCTACAATTAGTTGACAACTTACTTTACAGGATCAACCATTATGTTTAATAGGTCTGATCTTATGTTCAGAATGCACGATTCGTAAAAGAATGTCACTCATGTTGCTACTAGTTAAAAATTTAGCTGATGGGATTAGACTTTCAAGGCCATCTATTAATTAACTAAAGTTCCGGAAGTAGTACATTGAAACCAATGGGAACGTATGCACGATCTTTGAAAATGTTATTCTATGATTTGCGACTTCATGTAAGGAAATACTTTATATTCAAAGTAGATTTCAAACGAATTCGTGGAATATGTATTTAAACCACAAAAATATCTTTATTATAGAGAATATCCCTTACTCCGCTTTGCATATTAGGCTGAACAAAAATCGAACTGAACATTCCAATTTAATTATTGATAATTTTATTTTACAAATTCTACTATTTTACGTCATGTACACATATTACTCTACTTCTCATTTCTCTCGTCGTGATGTTAGTTCATTATCTATTGATTATCTCGCATTCTTCTTGACTGTCACTTATCATGTATTCGCTTCTTCGATAACTTAATTTACTTATTTACACATCGTCCTTCACATATAAGCTTGCTCAAATTCAGGAAATTTTCTCACAACGTTCGCGAAGGCACATGGTTCAACCTCAACCTGCTTTCCTCAAGGTTCTCTTTACGGCAACATTATCAAAGACATGAAAGCACAACAACAAGTCTCATTTATGGACATTTAATTTCAAACCTTTGCATAAATCATAAGCAACATTACTATTATTCTCAAGCTGTAATTTTAGTCCCAATCAATGAACATAAGTTAAGCTTGACAATCACAATTTGTAGATATTGGTGTGTTAATATAACTCAATAACCAATTTTAGACATTTCTATTTATTAGATACATCTAAATGCACATTTAATTGCATAGACTTTGTTACACAATTAAAATGCAGGTTAGAAAACTTTCACGAAAGTGAAGCTTCCATTTTGTTGGCGAGGAGGATGCGTTTGTGGATTATACACAGAATAAAAAATACGTTGCGTCATCTATTAAAAAAATTACATGTTATGATTTATTCTTCGATTTTTCTGTAGTGGCAGATGGCATTATACAGCTGTTACGCTGTGTTGCCACACTCGCGCGGATGGTAAGAATGGTAAGCACCTGTAAGCACCTGTCTGAGGTAACGAGCCCCGGTGAGTAGGACATTCGCGAATTAATTAAAAAGATATATTTGATAAGGCAGGAAGTGTTCTCACTGTAAATTATTTCGCACATGATTTTATCCGTCCTGTTTAAATACACCGACGTGAAGTAATACTTAACTTACACTTCTATATTTCTTGAAAACACTGTTTTATAAACATTACGTAGCTAATCGCGTTCTTATTTTGGGTAACTCGTCGCTCACCGACGGGAACAAAGAATTATTCCATTATGACTATTAAGAGAATTTTAAACAGAATTATTCCATTATGACGAATGTAACATGCGAATGTAGTGACATATTGTACACAAGACGTACTATATTTGAGAATATTCGAGTATGATTGTAATTATGAGACAGAAAGCCATTAAATATTTTGCGAGTAAAAAGAATGGCGTTTCCGTTCAGCATTGTGTCTTACGGTTGTACAATGAATGCTCTTTGAGAGAAGCAGTTTGTTGTAAATAACAAAATTCTATTTATTGTTTAAATCCACGGAAACATGCCAAAATTGCAATTTTCATATTAATTCAATAAAATAATGTTTATGTCGAATTATTTTTCTTACTTCAGAAATGCCATTTATTTACTGTATTGTTCTGTTTTTTTTTAAAGTGTAATGAATGTAATTTATAAAAACGATTTTGTTGTGTTGGCAGTGTAGCAGGCAAAGAGTATTCAAAAAGCCCGCGCGGGAATAAAGAATACGGAAGGCTCACAAAGTACACCGTTGTGTTTCCTTTCAGACCCAAATACAAACAATAATGAATTAATAAATCTTGTATGTACCTCGGGCTTTAACTGGTTCTAATAATCTTAACGCTCGATCATTAACACCTTTGTAACGCCCCTGGTTCATAAATTACTATTTTTTCTTTCCCGTATACATACGTATATACGGAATAATATGCGTAATATACGTAATACGTATGGAACATGTCTAGTTTTTCAAATATCGCTACTGTCGCGCTTTTAAAAAAATATTAATATTATTATTATTATTATTATTATTATTATTATTTTAAATTTCTTTTTAACTTTTATTCATTTTTCAACTATTTATAGTTAAAATGATGTGAAGGGATTCTGGAACTTAAGAAAACGTGCGCAGATGATCTTCTCTCCCATACGTCACATACAGTTTTTTTTTTGACTAAATAAATCTAAATCTAAACATCACATGCGCAAAAAAATGGCGGATTTTTGGCAGAAAAAAATCTATTGCCGGGCCCTAATAATGAAAAAAAAGTATAAATCCATTTGCTCAATTAAAAAGAATCGTCTATCAGCCAGAATATCTGTTTTTTGGGTCCTTGATACCGAAAAAACAATTGACGTCAAACGACCGAGCGTCTGTTTGTCCGTCCGTCTGTCGGTTTGTGAACACCACTAACGCCTAAATCATACGTATGATTTTTTCCAAAATGGATATTCCTAGATCGCTCTGGCTCCACTCGAGGCGACGCGTTTTTGAAAAAAATCTTTAAAATTTGAGGATACTTTACATGAAGCCCCCCCAGACAATTTTCAAATTTTTCTCAAAAAAAAAAAGGCTCTAAATTTTTTTAAAAATTTCTTGTAAGAATAGATTAAAAGACACTAATAAAGGTGGTATAAGTCCGATTATCAGAATTAACTTTGAATTTTCGAACATTTTTGGGTGTCTTTCTACAACTACAAAATTGAAGATAGAGATTTTTCCTTCAAATAAAATTTATTCTCCATAGTCAGTTCTTTCATTGAAGTCACGCAATTTTTTTTTGAAAATGTTCGTATTTTTCGCGCAATATTGCATGCAATATGTGACATTTTTAAAAAGAATAAAACAAGATTCTCTCAAAAACGGCTCCAAATGTTTTCTTTAAACTTTTGGTAGGGATGGTGCTAAATGTACTCTGTAAGATGACATAAATGACACGTTCCTCTATTCTTTTGTTTTTTCAAAAATGTATTTTTTTACTTGTCTCTCATGTTTATATTTACATTAGCGACGATTTGTTCACTGTGTTATATTTGTGTGTGCTTTAAATAATGTATACAGTTTCTCGAAAACTCAATAGTTTTCTGTAAAAACTGGCTCAAAACTCTGCATATTCAGAAACGTTGAAACGCCATTTTATCATAAATAGAACCAAATTTTTTCTTCAAACTTTTTGGACGGATTGTGCTAATTACACTCTTTAAAGTTCATTTTCGGGTATTTTTTGTTGTTGTTTTTTTTCATAAATTACACAAATATAATTTTCTGAATGATTGCTCACATTATTAATGTGCTCATTTCCAATAATTTGTAAACACTATTGTTTTTGTTAGTTAATATACCCCGAACGACTTCTGATGAAGTTTTTCGAAAACTCAAAAATTTTCTGTGAAAAATTGTCCAATGTGAAATCCAATTTACAGTAGAGCTTAAACACCATTTTCTTAGAAACGGCTGCAAATTTTTTAGAGAAAATTGTCATTTAGGACTAGGTTTTACTGTTCTTTAATATTTTAAAATAATATTTCCGTTCTACTATTACGAAAACGATAACTTACGAAAATGTAAAAATTATGTACTTTGGGCGACGGTAGATTGCAGCTGGCAAGAGTATGTGGCAAGTCCGAATAGCAAGCAGAGACCAAAAGAAATAAAAAAAACGAATATGAGAAAGTATGTGCCATTCGGTAGCACCACTAGTTCAATTGATTTCATCACGCATTCTAATTCCATACCTTACTAATCAAAAGTAAGTACTGTGATTACGCTTACGAAAACACGCTTTTTTATAAACCCATTGTTAATATTGAAATCTAATGCAAACATAAATAACTAATATTAACTTTCAAAGTTGCGTTAACACTCAAGCATTCAAAAGATAACTGTATAAAATTTTCCAAACGGAATAACCCTGAATTAATTCTCCAAAAAGACGAAATGGAATTTTTATCAGACCCATCATCAAAGTCGGATTTTTTGGTAGTAAATTATTTTTCTCTATTAAATACGTAAAGCCTTTCCGTTAAGAAAGAGGATACGTAAATAACATCTATTTTCAAAGAAGATAACATATCGGCGGAGTCCGTCAGCCGGCTCCGTTTAAAAGACTCCAGGTTGAAGGGATAAAAGTATTATCTTCCTCTCTACCTAGAAAGTGTCCCTTTCACTGAACATCTCACAATCAGAATGGAAGCAAGGACTAAAACAAGGACTAAATCTCGACTAAAACGAGCAGCTACGGAAGAAAACGGTGTTGTTCCAGCGGTCCCTGTGGCGCAGAGGATAGCGCGTTGGACTTCTAATCCAAAGGTCGTGGGTTCGATCCCCACCAG